AACTGTCCAAACTACAAATCTTTCAGAAAGAATTAAAAAAAAAAAACAAAAAAAACAACAAAAAAAGGGCGTAACCACTTCTCAAGCACATAATTAGTTCTTGCAAGTCCAGTGGCTCTACTGACCTTCCTTGGACTTCTTGTCATCGATGAGACAGTATTGCTACCAGGAAGAGCATCTGGTTTCCTGACATTTAGATCTTGCTGATTACCGATAATGGGTGACCAAAGAAGCCATGCAGTTCTCCTACAAGCCAGAGGTTGTTCACATGAAAACTACGTAATTTCTGAATGAGTAGTGACATCTGTTAGCTCAATATATTAATTCCCCCATAAGCTGCAGCTCACAGATTGTTTTCATCCCTCTGTAAAAAATTCTATTGCTCACTACAGGGTTCACATCCTGCTTTGCACAACTTGTCTCCGCTCTTGAGAAGGAGCCGTCAGTCAGTCTGTATGGAAACGCAACAGCTGGAAGAGATGGTGTGCACACAAGGTGAAGTGTCTTGCCACACCAGGGAACTTGGGGTAGAAAACTCGTTCTGATGGGCTGCAGAAAGCGCAGAGGAACAGTCAGTGCATGGGAGCAGGTCGATACGGCAGAGAGTACATGGTGAGCTGGCCCCCGAGAATGGGCACAGCTCCCAGAAGGACACCATACGAGCACTGCCAGATCACGTAGTGCTGTCCAAAGACTGGGGTAGTAAAAGCTTAAAGACAAAAAATTTATCTGCAGTCTGAAATTAGAAGACAAAATTGTTGTGTTCCTTTCAGCTCTGCTGACCTTCAGGCAAGCCTTGAGATTTGGCAGTGAGTAGGGCTGGCTGCCCTGGGGGTTTCCAGATTTGGGGGTATTTGCAGTGCCTAATGCCTGCCCTCTTTTGGCACACACGGAGAAGTACTGCCCTGCAAACCTGTGATGGGTAAGCCCAGGGCACAGGAGTCAATCAGTGTGGCAGAAGCATGTCTAATCCATGTAGTGCCACACATGAGTTCCAGAAACAAGGTAAATTCTCATCCCGAAAAAATTAGGGCATCACAAAGACCCCCAGATCCCTCCTTTGAGCAGCACTAAGGACCCTGCAGCATGCACTCATCCAGCCTCTGCCTCAGCCCATGGGATGAGTCCCGCAGCCCCCTCTGGGTTGTTGGCACAGCCTGGCCAACAAGAGCGGTGACTCCCTGCAGACAATCCCAGTGGAGCTGATGCCACTAGTAACGTAACTGACATTTCATATAGGGAAACCAAACCAGACAGAGGCAAAATCCCCAAGTCCCCGACGTTACCAGGCTGTGTGTTTCCTTTCCAGCTTAGCACCTGGCATGGCGCAGAGCAGCGGATGTGACCTTTCTTAAGTCTCATGGCAAACCTGAGTCACTTTGAGGCACTTCTAAGTCACAGGAGAATGTGAAGAGAAAATGCAGGAGATAAAGGATCTGGGGTAGCCACAGTAGCAGAAACTTGTCATATATTTTCAGGGGAAAACCAAAAAAAAAGAAAAAAAAGACAAAGGAGGAAGTGAACATAAAAAGCATAGACTTTTGTGGCTTTTTTTTTTTTAAATTAAACTACTGAAACATGAAATACATATGTTAACTGCAAAATCTGCAGTCTGAAAGGAGCATTCAAGAACTGCAAAACCCAGCTCATTTATATAATTTTTTTCCAGTGTGACTTTCAAACACTATCTGCTCTTGTCCTAATGCTTCTCCAAAACTGAATGCAGCAACGCAATATGCAAAACAAACCTCCGCTTTAAACAAATAGCCTTGATAAAACTCCACGCTTCTCCAAAACTGAACGCAGCAACGCAATATGCAAACCAAACCTCCACTTTAAACAAATAGCCTTGATAAAACTCCAGGCAGGTGTATGTATTAGCCTTACATGTAAGAAAGATAAAATATTGTAGATAGAAATCCTGAAGTCAAGAGGGGTTCGGTTTCTGTTTGGTTTTCCTCCTGGTTTTTCGCAGCCATCTGACCTAACCTCTGTCTGCAGCTAATTACAATGTAAGGGGCTGGCCATGTGGCCTCTAACTCATGGCTAGTGAAAAGTTAAACTATTCATGAAAAAACAGCATTATTCTCACCCAGAAATACAAAATTATAGGAATTATTGGTCAGTTTTACAGGTGGTTCTTAAAGCAATCAAGAGCCCAAATTCTAGCGACAATATCCATGCAGACAGTTTTGCATGTGCTTGTGACCTCCTGAATCAGGGCTCTGCACGTTTAATTCACAAATCATACAGGTTTACATGTGCCAATGCAGTTCACACTAAAACCAGAACTAACATTGGTTCACAGAATAAAAGAACTGACACCTCAGCTTACTGTATTACACTGGAAAAAATTTCCAGTGCAGCCCTATCTTCATCAGCTTAGATGAAGCTACACAACATAGTCTGTGACTCTCTCAAGTGCCTGAAAAAAGGGGAAATCTGAATGGTTAAAAAACAGGGACTTACTTTGTGACACAGACACAGAAGGGAAAGTTTCATTTCTGGCACGTAGGAAGGCAAGCGTGGGCAGAAGGCAGCACCAATTTGTTCAAGACTCTCTGCCTATTTTTAACTACTTTTGCCATTTTAGGGAGGATTGGAACAAAAAAAAAAAATCCAAGCAAGTTTTTCAGAGAAGAGTGACAAGACTGAATATGGCAATTAAAAAAAAAAAGTTATTCATAGATTTAATTATCTACATCAGTTTATTTAAACCAGCAATCTACCAACACCCAAATCCTCAAAAAAAAAAAAAAAACAAACAACCCCAAAACATAAATGCCTCCACAATCCTATCAAATGTTATTACAGTTTAACTCTTCTGATAGGATGATACATCTCAGCACAGGGTGTGGATACAGTTCTAGAGCAGTGCAGCCAGGCTGGCTCGCAGACTTGGATTAGCACAAAGTCCAGCAATGAGTCAGGAGGGTTTGCTATCACAGCCCTTCAGCCACACAGCACGCTGAACCGTCTGTTCTCCAAATGCTCATGAGCAAACGCAACTTGTCGTCAGCTACCCCACCTCCACTGCGCACATCCAGGGCCAGTATCAGTTCCCTCTCCAGCCCGAGGAACCCCTGCCCCAGTTCACAGGAAATCTCCTGGGAGGCTGTGGGAAGGCAGAAGAATACAGAGCACCCGGCATCTTCCTGTGAGCAGAGCCAGAGGGCAGAAAACACCAAAGATTCGCAGAAACAGCTGATAAGCCCACACGACAGAGGAGCTCTGCTGCCACAGAGATGCTGCTCATCTGTTCCTGTGGGCTGTGTTTCATCCTGTAACCCACACCCTCTGCACCGTGCTCCGTTACATGGAAACATGGTACTTGCTTTATTGCCTCCGAAGTGCAGCCTACAAACTCGATAAGCATTGTTTCTGAGACTTTGTTGGGTGTTCCCTGGAATGCATTTCTCAGATTCGTCCACTGCCATCCAGTTCACTGCATTTGGGCCACCGCACGCTTCCAAAGAGCTCTCCATTCACATTGTTTTTGAAGGGGCTGAGCCTTACCATCTTGAACATCCCAGCAACTCTGGTCAGAACTGATGCCAGGCCAGATTTCCAGAAAAAAAACCACTACACACAGTTTTCTCAAGTCTCACAAAGCCAATGGCAAGGCAGCATGTGAACTCAAAGCCTACTAAGCCATAGGATTGACCATTTGGTCACTTTCTGGGAGAATTCTACACACTGGAGTAACTTTTAGCTCATTTGTACTCTGCAATCACACACACCATACACATGCATCTAGCTAATACCACCATTTATTTCAAAAAGTCACTATCACACTTCGTATATAATACAAATGTTTATATACATTGTATATGCACTTCAAATAAGGAATCCCATATGTATAACATATAAGAAAACATATGTTTAAAAACATGTTTCTAGACACCAGCTGTATTCTTGAATACCTCTCCTGTTGCATATTTGAGCATATGCTTTGGTATCGTGCATACAAAATACCTATCTCTAACGAGTTATCGACTGAGGAATTATATTTGAAGTGAAAAACACTTCTGAATTCTGTAATTTTCAAGTTTACTTCTTCTTGAACTTTTACACTGAGGTATTTAAATGACACCAAAAGCTATTCACAATAACACTTCAGGGTTCTCTCAGACACTTCAGATTTTGAACTTGCTATCCAAAATTGGAATGCTTTCCAAAACTACACACCAACTAACTTCTAGAAGAAGGTTACAAAAGTAAAATCCATTTCATACAATCTACAGGCAAACCACTAGGTATTTTAACTGCACAGAGACCAGACTAAGAGCACTTCTCCAGTTCTGAATGCAGGTTCAATTGGCAGAAGGCACGAGGTGATCATCCAGACGAACGGCCAGAGCACACTTCAGGCATCTATCCACTGGCACGAAATCTTTGCACGTCTTTGCTCAAATGCAACCCTTGAAGGACCAGACAGTGAGCACTGTGTTAAGAGTTCAGCTCTTGCCTCTTCTCAGCAGAGAACATCTAAGGAGTTACTCTCTTCTAAACCGTAACAAAATTATCATTTATCAGCTGAAAAACTCTAAATGTCCACATACATGCTCCTAAACCTAAGACAGAAACAGACCCACAGAAGCAGCTTAAGCTAAACAATTTTACGGCAGAGATGTCCGAGCTTGACTGAAGCAGCCTTGCTGATGCCAGACATCGTGGGGTATTCAGCACAACAGCACGTCCACCAAGAGGAAGCACACAGCGTGTCGGTTGCACAGGGCTTATAGATAAATCATTAGTTATACACGGTGACTTCTGAAGTTTACAGTGCAGACAAGTGGTACTCCACCTTTCCCTCTATTCTGAGCTACAGTTTTCACTAATATGTTCTAATCAGAAATTACCATTCCCTTTGCCTTCTGGCAATCCACGTACACTACTTTCCACACACAAAGATCTTCAGGGAGATTTCCCAACACTTGGAGATCTGGAGCTACCTGGTAATGATGAGTAATTCCATCTGTTGGCCTGGCAACAGGGATGCTGCTCAATATTTTAACATGACATTTTCTCAATGTAGGTTTGAAGAAGTGCAGAAAAGAGATAAGTGGCATTTAATAGCCAGCTCTCACCAGTCACTTAACAGCTAGCACCAGAATTCTGGTGCTATTCTGGTATGCAGCCAGCACAAGAGTTACCAGCAATGACAACCATCTCTGGAGGCACAGCTGATATACGCCACTCAACTCAACCAAGAAGAAATAACTTAAGAAAAAAAATGGCAGCACAAAGGAACCTGGATAGGTTCATCAGGGGAGATTTCCCACCTAAAAGTGAGGATTTGGGAACTAGACTGAAACACTGGAGATACCTTCACTGAGAAAAGAGAAACGCTCTGCTTAGCATCTCCAATTGTAAGACGAGATACAAACTCAAGCAAAAAGGTCTTTTGATGTCCCTGTTTTTCTGCCTGCTTAATGATCAGCCCTTCCAGCTTCATAAACACTTTCTTCAGTTCAAAGACAATTGCCTATCACTACATACAGAATTGTCAAGAAACACACGGAGGACTCTATCAACTCAGTCCTGGCAAGAGGGCTGCCGTGCACAGGATCTTCCAAAGAGAAACAAATCACACGATTCCACCAAGAACACCCGCTCCCATTGGTCCTAATGCCAAAGGGGCCACTCAATGAGACCCGAAGGAACCGAAATGCAATTAAACACTTACACACACCCACACAATACAGCCACAGAACGTTTTGTCACATTACTTGTTACAATTGATCAGCTCAGAAATGCAGGAAACAGTAAGGTAATGTGGAGTCAGTTTTTGATGAGACTAGAATTGGAGTCAATTTGTTCTTCCTGGACAGGAGTGCGAAAGCTCCTTCCTCCTGAAAGACAGATAACAAAAAAAAAATACTGTACAGAGTAGAAAGGGCAGGAAAAGGGAAGCCAGGCACCTTTCAAGTTTCATGGACGACCAGGCACCTGTGAATGACATTTGGGTCAGTGCTTGTCTTTCCAGCCAGCGCTAGGAAACACCAAGTGTAGG